ATTCATCTATCTCAGATTTAAAATTAACAGCTGATCTGGCTTCCACTCCATTTGTGGAAGTTGTGTGCATTTCTATGGCACCTGTATCACAAGACGTCCCGAGGTATCTCAGAGGAGGGTTAGCCAACGTGAGAGCCAGTTAAGGCGGCTCAGTGGTTAGCACTGCTGCCTCACAGCACCAGGGACCCGGGTTCAATTCCACCGTCAGGCAACTGTCTGTGTGGAGTTTGCACATTATCCCTGTGCCTCCGTGGGTTTCCTCCAGGTGCTCTGGTTTCCTCCCATATGCAGGCTGGGTGGATTGGCCATGCTAAATTACCCATAGTGTTCAGGGTTGTGTAGATTCAGTGGGTTTTAGGTCTGGATGGAATGCTCTGAGGGTCAGTGTGGACTTGTTGGGCTGAAGGGCCTGTTTCCACACTGTAGGGATTCTACGATGATGAATGGCAGAGCAGTCTCAAAGGGCTGAATGGCCTCCTCCTGCTCCTAGTTCTTATGCTCATCTAAAGGAAACTGATGTCTCCTATCAGTCCAACAAGATCTCTGAGCTTCTTTAATTCTGGGCTCCTGTGCATCCCAGCATTGCTAACCCGACCCTCAGTTGCCTAGACTCTAATTTTAGAAATTCCCTCTCTAAACGCTTCTCCTCTTCCCTCACACATTTCTAAAAATGTAATTCTTTGACTAAGCTTTCTGGCCCAAATCCTTTAAGATTCTTTGTAAAATGTATCCCTTTGACCTTTCCCCGTCCAACCTCATGTCTGCTAATTTGGCTCATTGTCACATATTGTTTATCTTTCTCCTGTGAAGAGCCTTCAATTACTCATTGCTTAAACGTAGGTTTTTGTGGTGGTTACGGGTTTAAAGAAATAAAAGACAGCTTGACTCATGAGGGTTGTCCAAATAATTTAGTCAGTTTGCTTTCCAGTTGGTGCAGGATGCAGCGCTCTTGTGACAAAGGACATGCTGGGCAGGAGCATGATGGGCATCATGATGGGTTGAGATCGTGTGACAAAATCACCAGGGTGCATGTCAAGGTAGAATCTTAGAATCCCTACAGTGTGGGAAGAAGCCATTCAGTCCATCAAGTCAGCAGTGATCCTCTGAAGAGCATCTCACCCCTATCCCCATAACCCAGCATTTCCCATGGTGACTCCAACCAGTCTGCGCACTACAAGGCAATTTAGCACAGCCAGTTCCCATCCTTGCACATCAGGAGGCATCCAGAACCCCCAGAGGAAACCCATGCAAAGAACGTACAAATTCCACACAGACAGTCACCCAAGGCTGGAATCGAACCCAGGTCCCTGGCACTGTCAGGTAGCAGTGCTAACCACTGAGCCACCGTGCCACTCAAAAGCTAGTAAACCAAATGGAAAGGAGATATGGATTTTCAAATGTCTTGGACAGAGCAGGGTACCATAAATAACTGAATGACCCTAGCCTGGGGGAGTTCAAATCCAGGGGGCACTTCTTAAGGTGAGAGGAGAAAGATTTAAAAAGAACATGAGGGGCAACTTTTTTACATAGAGAGTGGTTCATGTGAGTCATGAACTTCCAGGGAAAGTGGTGGATGCAGGTAAAGTTACAACATTTAAAAGACATTTGGGTAAGCTCATGAATAGGAAAGGCTTGGAGGGACATGGGCCAAGCGCAGGCAGGTGAGACTAGATTAGTTTGGGAACATGGTCAGCACGGAATGTTGGACCGAAGGGTCTGTTTCCGTGCTGTATGCCTCTCAGTGCCCTTTTATCAAATCTAGCCAACGCCCAAACCATTCATTATCACTCTCGATCAGCAGCTGATTTGAAATAAAATCAGTTGGCATGCTAGAGTTCTGATCTGAATAGGACATCAGAAGATCATTTGGAGAGGTTACACCTCAGACCAGAGGGAGTGTTCTGAAAAATTAAACTTCAGTCAGATTCCAACCACAGTAAGCCATTACTTTCTGTTTCCCAGATATAACATATTTAGAAATCTGAAGTTCTTCAGTTTTTAAGTGCAAGCAATTAGCCAACAGGAAACACCCACTTAATTAAAATCTATTTTTCAAAAAGATCTTCCAGTATAAAAATTTTGCCATTTATAGCCCTTTTTTTTAAATATAGCAAGAAATGCAACTGTGTCTCTACGGATCATACCCCTCAGTCCGAAGGTTCTGTGTTTAAGCTTC